CCGCGTGTACTTGGCACGAGACACTACCGTGTCTCTTGATATGTGCTGTTTTCAAAGTAAATAGTTATTGTGGTGCTATTCTGAACGCAGCCTTAGTTAACTAAAATGCTATTATGCAACACGTGCATGGAAAGTGCCCCATTACGCACGCTACGCGTGCGTGATAGACCACTTTCCAGGCACTTGCAACATAAAATAGGGAGTGTAAGCCGTGTGTAAAGATGAAAATTCCCGGGTGCGGTTACCGCACTCGCCTTCGGCTCGTGCGTAAACTCCGCACCCGGGAATTTTCATCTTACCTCACTTGTTACACAAATAACTATAGTGTACGTGACGTAAACTATAGATTTTAGTTAACTAAGGCTGCGTTCGGAATAGCACCTGTGATGAATAGTAATAACCATTCATGCGGTAAATGTCATAGATATCGTTCAAATCAATGGAACGATTGACCAATTATGATTGAATATTTTGTTCGTTACTGTGACGCGGGTTTTCATCTACGCGAAAGTAAACCGATACGTTTCGCAGTATACAAATGTAACAGTGGCGATGATGGTTTCGCTATGGCGATTGTATACCTACGTATTATTGCGACGTGCCTGCTCGTTTCTTCTACCTTCTCGGCACCCCCTTTTGGCGCCCTTGCACGGTAAACAACTAACATACCTATTCTATGCAACCAGTGCCTACCGGGAGTTGCGTCTTCCAACTACGAGCAGGTGTTTATCGAGAGATGAGCATAAATATGCTATTTTATCGAGCGTGTGTATAAAACTTGTTAATAATTTTCATTTATCGTATGTTTTTTACAAGCAAGTGATGATTTATCTTATCATTAATGACATTTCATTGATGATATTAATATGCGCGATAATGCATGAAATTATTAATATATATCTTTTTTGTTGAAAAAATTTTTTTCCTGACTTATTGTTAATGATCTATCTATTACTATCACATATGCAATGATCACACTCTTGAAAGGAAATAATAAATAATGTTTTTTTTGCTTCCTCGTAGAGGAAGCTTTGTGATGGTGAAAAAAATTTTTTTTGAGATTTTGATGGAAATAGGTTTAGAATGTTCCAAAATGTCGAGAAATCATATTAGTAGAAAATGTCTGGAAGTGTGTGTGTGTGTGTGTGTGTGTGTGTGCGCGCACACACACACACACACACTTTCGGACATTTTCTACTAATATGATTTCTCGACATTTTGGAACATTCTAAATCTATTTCCATCAAAATCTCGAAAAAATTTTTTTTTCGCGCGCGCGCCGATAGGATGACACCCAGGAGAAAATAAATAATTAGGTTGGTGTTGAATTTAGCAAGAATCAGGGAAGGGATTACCGATTTTTCTGGCTATTTTTAGAAATGTCCGTGGTGCTCTAACTTTTGTAAATTTTTTTTGTAATAGTATAACAAATATATTAGTCATAATAAAGCTTATCACAATAAAAAAAAGGGTGCAAGTAAAAACTTGCACATTGCTTCCTCATAGTTTTTAAGTGTGCAAGTAGAAATTTGCACATTGCTTCCTTATAGTTTTTAAGTGTGCAAGTAGAAACTTGCACATTGCTTTTTCATAATTTTTAAGTGTGCAAGTAGAAACTTGCACATTGCTTCCTTATAATTTTTAATCCTATGAGGAAGCAAAAACAAATAAATACTAATAATTATACTTTGAATAAAATAAAAGCTTCCTCATAGAGGAGCTTTGTGAGCGAAGGTTTCTACTTGCACACTTTTTAATATGTTGTAGTTTATGATCTACTGAAAATGAAATAGGGTCGAAGCTAAATAATGAACAGTTAAGCTGCAGTCAATCAAACACGACAAATTCGGGCTCTGCGAATATTATATACTCCTACTCCTGGCATAACCCAGGGCGACCCAGATAACCCACTATGCCATATGTTGGCCATATATGCCACACATACACACGCATACAAACACACGCGCGCGCGCGCGCACACACACACGCACACACACACACACACACATGAGACCAATCCTTCATCCATTTCGTTAGGAGAGTAGGAATATCTGAAATATAATACTTGCAGAGAGCCCGAATTTTTCGCGTTTGACTGGCTGTAGCTCAAAAACTGTCCATTATTAAGCTTTGAGCCCATTCTATTTTTTGTTTAGTAGGTCATGAGCTACAACATTTAGCTACATATTAAAAAATTAGTTGATTTTACTGAGATCCCATTTCGTATAGGTATAATTAGTGCGGGGTCCTTTGTTATTGTGCGATAGCAAATTTAACTCAAATTAAGGCAAGCAATTTATAATATTAACAATTAATATATATAGTTATCAGATATGAGAAGCGTCAAATCTTAATTTCGCATAATCTAAAATTCGTGACAGGCTAAAGGCTATGAAGACTGAAAAATGTGGTCGGGGCTATCTGTCTTATTTTTAATAGGGCAATGTGTCCACACACTTTAATGACGGATTTTATATTTTTATAGATAATATGGTGCGTAACTACAAAAGAAAAGCGGATAAAATAGACATACCTAATAAAATTATATTTAGAGCGATTAAAAGAATAAAAATCGAGCGAGAATCTTTTTTTCGCAAAAACGGTGTTAGAATTCAGAATAAATATTCGGACTCTCACTCGCTACCTACTGTAAAAAAGTGACCTACGAGCAGCTACTTGATTCTGCAATTCAAGAATCGTCATCAAATTTACATTTAAAAAATACACGTTAAATAAAAATAGTTTGTCTTAAATTATTTAGTATTTGCTATTTCAATAAGCGCTGCTGAGGAAAAAGTAAAGGCCTGAAATGCAAAAAAAAAGGATTAAAAAATTGAGGGGACAAAAGAAACTCACCACATTGATTTTGCAACAGACTCAAAATCAGTTTATTGATGCCACCGGATATAAAGAAAGTCAGCTCTACGTAGGATCCTATCAGAAAGTCTACACGTTTATTACTGTTCTGATTCTTTCGATTAGGTAGTATTTGCAATATTAATAATAAATGATATTATAAGTAAGTATAAAATTAATATAAATAATATGTTTTTTATTATGTGGACAGATAGCTCCGCATACGGGGCCATTTGTCTACGCTCGACTTGCCCACTTAAAAAATTCATCCCTTTAAAATGTTAAAAGATGAACGTACGATTTTAATTACGTTTTTTTTTTTTTTTTCAATAGAAAGTTGATGAAAGGTTACATTATTAAAGTGAATAAATGAGACATCACGCAAGAAGAACCGCGTTTGACCCTTATAGCCTCTTTTCTTCCCGTTTTGTTAATTCTCGAGGGTCCGTTTACGATTTATCATTATTAAAATGTTTAGTCAAATATTTTTATTAGTTTTTCAGCAAACTTTAAAAAAGAATTGTATTGTAATTGTAGACAGATAGCCCTGGTCTCAACAGTTGTGTTTCCTGAATGCGGCCAATGTGTCGGCAGATTGGTAACAGATTTGATCAAACATATGTCACATCAGATTATATTGACATCCATTGCGTTAGCATTCAACTTATGTTCTGCCAGCAGAGTTTTTTAACATAATCAGACAGTAGATTAGCAGTAGAAACCGCGCAGAACCTGTACCCCTATTCTGTAACTCTTAACGACAGTGTCGGTATCGTTATGTTGTCGTTGCGCAAGTATACTATATGGGAAAAAAGCTGTGCACATAACGACGCATAACGAGTTACAGAATCACACTACTGGGCGGTTTTTGCAGACTTTGCTCGATTTCTGCCGCTAATCTGCTATATCTGATTAGGTTAACAAATTCTGTTGGCATTCTGTCAACATCATGTGATATATAACCGGCATGGCATCAAATCTGGTAGTCTTTCTGCCGACAAAATTTAGCAAATGCTTGGCAAGATCTGCTTTCGACAGTCTTGACTAAGTTATATAGGTAATAAAAAATAAAATATATGTACATTATAAATAAGATATAATATTATTGAACTTAAATTAATTATATATGAAATATATATGTAAATTATTTAAGTTATATAGACCCAGATAGCAAAGCGTGGCTGAGCAAAATCGCGCAAACCTGTGATTGCTTATTATAATGCTGGTAACTTGCCGTACATTTGCTTTAATTGATTTCGAGTAATTTAATATTTGAAGCAACACGCAGGCAACATTGAATATATGTATTGCCAACAATATGTCGACAAAAGAGCAGCATTAAATTTACTTCACGTTGCTAGCAATATGACAGCATTGTGTGATCCTATGAATATTATTACAGCAACACATGACAGCAACAGCTCGATTTTTGTAAATCAGACGATTTTAGACCGCAGTACCGCCAACAAGTTGCTGGCAAGTTGCTATACAAAATTGTTATATCGTGAAAGCATCAACTTGCTAACAAATGCGGACTCAGTTGTCACAATTCTGATAGCAACACATATTATGTTGTCGGTAACATGCCAGCAACAATGCAGACACGTTGCTACCTGGGGAGTTGTGTGATAGCATACGCTGAGAATTCACGATGATTCTTTCAAAGCTCTGGCGAGTCAGTGCAGCGCCCAAGAGCTGGTGAAGGTCCTGAACGACCTCTTCGCCCGTTTCGACAGGCTCTCGGCAGAGAATCACTGTCTGCGCATAAAGCTCCTCGGCGATTGTTACTACTGCATCTCTGGCCTGCCGATCGCCAGGAGCGATCATGCCCACTGCTGCGTCGAGATGGGCCTGCATATGATAAAGGCCATACGAGACGTTAGATTCACCACAAAGGTACTGGGATCTTTCCCGTATAAATTCTTTTCAGATAAGAAAACCAAAGGAGGATATTCCAAATTGAGATTTTGGGAACTGTTAGGGAAATGAATAAATCTTACGTATTCTTATGTATTTTGAGTCGTTTGAAAATGGCCATAAAAATTACGCCTGTAGTGGAGAAAATATGGAAAATGGAGATAAATAAAATATATAATATATATATTTTTGTTTTTTTATATTATATAGTTTAATCTTAAAAGGCTCTAATGATTTAAAATCAAACGTATGAAAAAGGAGGCATAAAGCCGTAACAAGGTGTTATTCGTGTCAGTTTCTGTGTATATATATATATATATATATATATAGTATATACATATATATTTTTCCAACTTTATTTAACTGCGCGCCGATTATTTGTCGGACTTGAAACACAGTTATTGTTGGAATTAAAACCCTTCCCTCCCCGGAATTAAATCGACTCGATTTAATTATCTAAAAACTGTAAAGAATTTATTGCAAAAAATATATTTTATATTTATTTAATATATTTTAGAATATATTTTATTTTTTTAAATATATTTTATATATATATATATATATATATATAATTCTTATTTTTTATTTTTTTAATATTTTATTATATTTGCCTACTTAATTATTCCTACGATATCGAGCGAAGAATACAATGTTGACTTTAAGGTTGCACAAATTGTACATAGAAGTTGAGTTCCTATGCTCTGCGTGAAAACAAGTTTTTTGACGACGCGTCGTCTCAAGCGACACATACATATATACATATATATATATTTATATAAGCGGTGTGCTCGTCGATGAAGTGAGACAGATAGTAGACGATTTGCTCATTCGTACAAATGCAAACCTGTAAACCAGTATAACAATTTCACGTTTTTTCATTTTTTCTTCAATTTTCCACGTTTTCTCTGCTACAGGAGTAATTTTTATGACCATTTTCTGATTCTACGACTTCTCAAAATACATAAAAATATGTAAGATTTTCCTAAGAGTTCCCATTGCAAAATCTCAATTTGGAATACCCTTATTCTTTCCGAAGCACCTTTAAAACTGACATATTTTCCGTAAATTAACAATTTGTTATTAATAGGCCTGTTATTTTTACCTGAATTTTTTGCACAGTTCATCTTTCTTCTTTTTCTTTTCACGTTGGAGAGAAAAAGAGAAAAGATGAACTGTGCAGGAAGTTCAGCTACATAGAAGACCTTATGTTATGCTGCATGGCCTGCATACCAAGAGTCTTAATTTTATTCGGTAAAAACAAAGATTTAAAGCATAAAACATTGTCTTAAAATTATGAGTCAGTCATTCTGCTCAGGCCCTAACTCTTTGTCGCGAAAAAAATCTCGATCCTAAATATCTAAAATAAAAGTTAAGTATTTTTAATTTAAACGTGTTCAATTCTATAATTTTTCTTTATCCTCCTCTGGCGCAGGTGGATTTAAACATGAGGATAGGAATCCACAGCGGATCAGTACTATGCGGAGTCTTGGGCCTGCGAAAATGGCAGTTCGACGTGTGGTCGTACGACGTGACACTTGCTAATCATCTTGAAAGCGGAGGAATACCGGGGTATAAAAAAGAAATTCATAATACAGAGTGTTTATAATGTGTTATAGAATTAATATTAATGAACAAATATAATAACGCTTATTACCCGCGAATTTTTAGCTCTCCGGTTCAAAATTCGCTGTATTGTGTTGAAACCTTCGGTCTACAAAATTTTCAAACGGAACGAGGGATTTATCTTGTTACAGAAGAGTACATATTTCCGCTGACACGCTTAAATGCCTGAACGACGTTTACGAGGTGGAACCCGGCTACGGTTGCGAGCGGGACAATTATCTAAAGGACAGAAACGTGGTAACGTATCTCATCAAGCAACTGGAGCCCCTCAAGTCCAGACGAAGACACTCGTCGAAGCCGAGAGTCTGGACGGAGGAAGAGCTAGTCACGAATAAGAACAAGAAGAGCTTCAAAGTGAACAATCCACATGTCGTGAACAGCAACGCGCAACCCCCGAGTTCTATGGATGACGATATCGGGATTGACTGGACGCCTGAAATCCCGTTCGAAAATGTGAGTATTAGAATATAAATACGAACGTATCCAATTAATAATAATAAATTAATTGAATTATATTATTAAAATTGAATTGAAGAGAGAGATAATAATGCAACAAATGCAATTAATAATAAAATGTTATTTATTTTATTTGTCTCGTAATCGTAGCTGAATACAGCTACGTCGGTGAGTAACTTGGAATCCGAGTATTTGGAAGAGGAGAACGGTCAACCAGCCAAACCGATTACCAAAGCGACCTCGACGACAGCCGTCGAGAAGAAGGGCGCTATCGAAACCGCCAGCAACAAACGTATGAGATCGGCGAATATAAACACATGGACTTTGCGCTATAACGACGAGAGTCTAGAATCCAAGGTATAATCAAATTTCGCTGACATTACTATTGCTTTCCCTTGAGCTTGTCTGATTCCAAATTACTTAAACAAAATAAATATATAAATATATATATATATATATATATATATATATATGATAAAAATATCCATTAAAATAAGGCCAAATTACGAGATATCCAAATATATTAAAATTAATTATCTTGCATTTTGTCCTCTAGTTTGACCAGTTGCGAGAAGACATGTTCAAGTCCAATATGATATGCTGCTTTGTTATATGGCTCTTCATTGCCGTCTGCCAGGCCATAATCTTGTCTGAGTGAGTACACATAAGCAAGACAAATTAATCAATTATTAATAGCCGACTTTCTGCCTTTGGAACCACAAATTTTGTCACGAGTAAAACGTTGTTTCCTGAAAATAAATAATTCCTTCAACTTTTTATTCTTTAACTTCTAAAACATATTTAACTAAGATTTCATATGTTTATTGACGCCGTTAGATATAATAATATTTAATAGATATCCAAGGATATCCACATATCCATATAACGTCCATATCTATGGTGGATATTTAATAGATATCTATTAAATGTAAAAATATCCATGTCTCTCAAATAGCCACCAGGGATATCCATTAAATATCCACGTGTCATCCACATATCTATATCTACCAAGTATCTACTACATGTCTACCACAGATATTTACTAGTTCATAACGACACCGCTAAGCGGCGCATAATGGTAAGACCAACTCATAAGTGAATTTCTGTTGGAAGCGCGCGCGAATATAAGCAGGTCCCCGGCGAAGCAAAATCGCGACATCCGCGGGTCTTCGAACCCGGCTCCTCTTTCAAATCTAGAGAAATAATATTTTTGAGATGTTGATTCAACGTTTATGTGCTTTATGGGGTTCTATTTGTATATAATGGACATATATAAAAATAAAAAACATCAAATAAATATCCACATAGATGTCTAATCAATATCCACGAGACGTGCAGTAGTTATTTATATAAATATCCACTGGATATTTAATGGATATCTATTAAATATCTCGTGGACATCATGGATATACATTGGGGATATTTAATAAATATCTATTAAATATTAAATTCTGTGTGGAAAATTTTGAGAGGAAACTTTAGGAACTAAAAAACAAAGAAATAAATACATAAATAAAAAATAAAAAAAGTTTAAAGTTTAACTTGTTAAGATTTTCAGGTTACACGTGTAAACATTAATTTACTTGAAATTATCATATATTTGTGTATATATTGGGGAAGATAACGCGTCTCCCTCGTTCCCTTCGTTAACAGCGCTCATGATGTGTTATATTCATATTTCTTTTTTTGTTAGTAGAATTTTAAGAATTAAAAAAAAAATTTTTTTTATAATAACTAACAATGTCACATATAGTGATATATTAATAATTTTATTTTAATTTTATCAATATCGCAGTTGCATGATTCTCCTGATCTCGTTGCTGGTGACTACGGTGATCTTGGTGGCATCATCGATCCTGGTGATGGCAGAGGAGTTCAAAGGTATGCCGACGTATTTGCAGCACACATCATCCATGCTGGTGCACAACAAGAAGCATCGCACCATCTTCATTTGCGGCGTCATCAGCCTGATGACGTTGACGTCCATCATTGGCGTGTTGACCTGTCCCATCACGGTACGCCCTTACCAGGAAGTGATGGTGCTAGAACAACAGCAGGTACCGACGACAATCGCGGCGGCACCGCTTCCGATGCAGGAAAAGTTGACAGCAACGACCGCAAGGTCGAGCCTGGACCACTTTGTCCTTACATTCCTAGAAGCTGCCCTGAGCGACGAATCCACCGAGGAAGGAAAGACTGTCGCTTCAACAGAGAATAATACTTTGGAAACGGGCTCCAGCAATATCGAGCTGAAGTTGACACGTGTGGTGAACGACAGAGCACCCGGAAGAAGCAGGAGAGAGTTTTTCAGATTCTACAGGTGCGTTTTGTAGGCATTAAATTTAAAAAAAAAATATCAATCATATTTTGTTACAAGCGCCATCTGGCATTCCGCAAATTTGGACTAGCATTGTCGCAAAAACAATTATAAAATTAAGGAAAATTTATTGTATAAATTAATTATGGTGAAGGAAATAATTATGACTTCCTAATGAATGCCATGCTTATAATATTATCGCAGGTACGAGCAACATTATGGCGGGAAGTTGGAAGCCGGTAGCCGACATTACAAACGAGTTGCGCGCAAACGCGATGTCGAAGGAGGTTCCCAAAGAAAGATCCTCTCCATTGCCGAGGAGAATCAAGTCCGCTCAAAACGATTAATTAGAAGTCCCGATGAGCTTGAGGAGGTCGGCTGCATTCGACCAGAGTACATGGTGTTCACGTGGATTCTGTGCCTGATTGCGCTCGCTTCAGCCCTAAAGCTATACTACCTGGTGAAGACTGCGCTGGCCGCGGCGATTGTCCTGGTGTATGCGATGCTGATCCTCGTTGTGTGCAAGGATATGTTCACCGAGAGAGAAAGAAACGCGTAAGTCGTTTGGATTGACGTTTAAAATGCTCCTCAGCGTTAAATAATGCAATAAAATATTTAATTTTTGCGAGAAAATGTACTTATAATCAGTAAGCAAAATGATAGCAGTCTGTCGGCAGATTTTAGTAACAAAGATCAGACATGTCAGCAGACTGACATCAACTGCATCCCCATTCAACTTATGGGGAGGTTACCGTTAAAAAAATCGAATTTTTTTTTGCTTAATTTTTTACTACGTAAAACTTTAAACGCGTTTTTCTCGAAACAGCATTTTTCGGCGCGCGGGGCGCTCTACAGCTTCAACGGATGAACCGATTTTAATAAATGACGGTGCAAAAGAAAGGAAATTTAATTTAGGGGGCCTTCAGGAAGCGTTTTTTTCAAGAAATTGGTTGCAAATAATTTTTTTCGAACGTTGAAGGAAAAGAAAACAGGGAAAAAAAGAGGTTTATTTTTTCAAACGGCCACCATTTTGTTATAAGGGGGTTTTTTAAAAATCGGAAAATCACATAAGGCCCCCCCAAATTTAATTTATTTTAAGAATTTTTTTGGTTTTTTTGTTTCCGATCAGCTGGCAAGGCTGTGGAATGCCCCGCGCACATAGAACCACGCCGTGTGGAAGGAGAGCTGGAGCCGCCATTTTTAATTATTTTCTTCCGAAAAAATTCTAAATTAATCTTCATTTGTGTACAAATAAAAACCGCGAAAAATTTTTTCTAAATGTACTTATTTTATATCAAAAAAAATTCCTGAAATTGAGGCATTTTTTGGGCCTCTGAACGGTAACCTCCCCTTATGTTAACAGAGTCTGCTAACATAAATAATCAGACAGCAGAAACCGCGCAGAGCCTGAACCGTTCCAGCAGAATCTACTCAATTTCTACCGCCAATCTGCTGTCTAATTATGTTATAATTAACAAACTCTATTATACTTTTGTTGGCATTCTGCTAACATCATGAGAAATATATCAAAACCGGCATCAAATCTGTAGTTTTTCTACCGACAAAATTTGTAACAGATACTTGGTATAAAGATCAAAGGTCTTTGTTCGATCTACTTTTGACAGACTTGGCTGTCTGGGTACCTAACAGTTCTGTTAATCCATAGATAATAGTAAATAAGAGCAATGCTTATACATTTATGTCGAAAAGGTTCAGGAATGTGTATAATTAGTAGCAAAATTGTGAAGGCTATTCATGGTTTTTAATTTAACCCTGAATTTTTAATGTAACAGTAATCAAAAAGTTCTTTGTGCATCATTCCATGTTCGCTCTTAATCTCTCTTCCAGATCAGCGATATCTCTACCGGCGCAAATGTTGACTTTCCTAATGGTCTTCCTCGTGATGGTGACGTATCACGGTAGATTGGTAGAGGTAACGTCGCGTCTGGACTTCCTGTGGAAGCAGCAGGCCGAGAGAGAGTTGAGCGACATGATCGAGTCGCGGCATAACAATATGCAGCTCCTGAAAAACATCCTACCGGACCATGTGGCGCATCATTTCCTTACAGTAGATCGCGCGCCGGAAGTAAGGCTCAATTTTATTTTATTTAACAGACAACTCTGATGGCAAGATGTCTTAAAATTATGTTATTAATCAAAATTTCTATAAAAATTTTCAAAATTTTTCAAAATGCTAAGAATTTTTCAGATTTTTTTATAGGAATTAGAACGTTTTTAAAAAAAAACTCAGACAAAATATTATATATTTCAGATTTTTTCTCGCCAACACATCTTTGTAGAAATCTGAATAGATATGAGAAAATTTATGCAATTTATCAGAAATTTGCATATTAGGTATACTGAAATATTTCGAAAATCCTCATTCAATTATTTCTGGAAGTATCTGAGAAATTTTATGTTTTTTCAGAATTTTTATAAGTCTCAATTTTTAGAAAATTTCTGAGAAAATGTAAGAAATTTTTTTACCAGGGAAATATACTTACTCTGTTACTAATATCTCTTCGTCAATACAGGAACTCTACTCGCAATCGCGGGACAAGGTCGGCGTGATGTTCGCCAGCGTGCCGAATTTCACGGAATTTTATTCGGAGGACGTGAACAAGGGAATGGAGTGCATTCGCCTACTTAACGAGATCATCGGTACAGCGATCTGTCGTTAAACTTCCTCGATGTCGATAATGTCAACATTTCTAATCCTGTTTTTTCTATATCTGTCCTTGTTTAACTATAATAATCTGTCTTTGTTCGATCGCTGCGCCATCTCTCGCTACACGCAATACTGCTTACCCTATCAACCTGCATGTGCTTTTGCACAAACCCTGATACCACAGTGTCAGTTGGTGCCGTCATGATGCCGTCGTGGTGCTGTTAATATGCATGAAATTCGTGTATATTAACAGCACCACGACGGCATCATGACGGCATTGACGGCACCAACTGACACTGTGTTATCAGGGAAATAGTAGCGAAATTTCAAACTTTTTTGTTACGTTTTTAATTTTAGTTTTTCATGTTACGGTATATATTCTTTGTTCACATTATACGAATGGTGCGCGTGTATCTCATTTTGTACATATAAACTGTACAACTCCTGTATTAAGCAAACGTTTACGGTAGCTATAGGTAACAGCTCAAAAATGTATTTTAAAAATTTTTGTTTTCAAATCAACAGTCGCACTATTTGTTTTTGTGCATATTTCAATTGTGTACAAAAATTTTTAAGTTCTGTGCAGTCTACACAAAGTTGGAACTATCCCTGTAATTGTCGGTATATAATTTGGGTCCCCTTCAGTTTAGGATTCCCTTAAGATCGATATACATTTTCATATTTTCTTCATATTTTGGTCACATTGATGCTTTGACGTGTAATTCGTAACTTGCAATACACAGCTGATTTCGACGAGCTGCTGGACGAGACACCATTTCAATGCATCGAGAAGATAAAGACGGTCGGCGCTACTTACATGGCAGCCTCAGGCCTGAATCCCAGCCAAACCGTAATAATAAAATATAAAACATAATGCAACGCAATACTATATACACACACACAATGTGTCTAACGAGATATACAGGCCATTGTAAAATCATGTTTTCCACTAAAAATTTCTCGGTTGATTTAGATTTATCTCAACGAAAATTTCTAACTTATTAAATACTCGAATTTCAATTTGGAATTTAATTACAAAGATATATAACACGAAAAATTGGAAAATATTAAAAAGCTACTAAAAGGTCTTTTAGTTGACAGTATTTTGGTGGTTCTGATAAAATCCTTGATATATACTGAAAATATCTAGTATATTTTTAAATTCCTAGTCTCGAAAAGTTTACCTTTTAATATATACATTAGCGATAGGATTAAGTAGTTTACAAGTTTTTCGAATCTGTTATAGTTTCGAATTCTTTATGATTACTTTTAAAATAAAAGCAATACTTTTAAGTAGACTCGAAATGGGTTCAAACCCTCTATGAGTATCTCGAAAAATAAAAGCATTACTTCCAAGTAAACTCAAACCTGGAGCAAATATGTTCGAATCTTTTATGACTTTACTAGAAATTTTAAGTTCCTTCGAATCAAAACGTTTGTGTAAAACGACAATTATTTTAATTTTTTTATAATTACAAATATTATATTGTCAATAGTTGAAATAAAATATAATAAAAACACAATTAAAAATATAAAATAAAGTCACTTAAAATCTTTACACATTACATTCTTTAAACTAACAACTTTGTTTTTAAAGTTCGAGTAGGTACTACTTGTAAAAGATTAGGATCTACTTGAAAGTATACATTTTTATTCTTGCAAGTATACCCATTCTAAAATTCGAAACTAACTCGGAATCGATTACTTCAAATACAATGTATGAAATATTGGTAATTATTTACTTTTGGGGACACCACGCCGATAACATATGTTATCAAGAACATGACTTTGAGTATAAACTTTTCCTTATAACTTAATCGGCGGTTATTGCTTATTTAAAAGTTATGAACAAAAAAAGTTGGTAAATATTTAGTATTAAGGAGTCACCTTCAATTTCTATAATTTTGAAATATGTTGTCAAGTTCATCACTTTGAGTAATATTGTGAAGATTTTAGTTAAGGATCGTTGCTTATTAAAAAGTTATTAACAAAGAAAATATAATGAATAGTAGGTATGTAATTCTATGATACCGTATATGTCCAATCTAATTGTTGTGTGGGTGGATCACACCAATTCAATTGTTGTGTGGGTGGAAAAGTGTACGTGTGGATGCAGTGGGTTCCACTTCCGCAGGGGGCGGAACTCACTGCATCCACGCATACACTTTTCCACTTTTCCACACAACATTTGTACGGTTTAAGTTTTCAACTTTTCACGTAAACCGAGGTCCACCTACCCCGGCCTACATATATACTGTCTATATATACATCAGTAAATTACTTTCCTTAGCACTGACATAAACTATTATATTTCTCAAACTTTTTTTGTTCATAACTTTTAAATGAGCAATGACCGCCGAATAAGTTATAAGGAAAAGTTACTCGGGGTCATGTCCTTGACAACATATGTCAAGCTCAAAGTCATCGGCGTAATATTCCTTAAAGTAAATAATTACCGGAATATTATTTTTATTCAATGTATGGAATATTACTCAAATCCTAAAAAATGAAACTTAATTATTGGAAACAGAAGTCGTTTTTGTCGACCCAACTGGCCAAATAATTAATATATTTAAACTCACAACGTTTCGACCGTAATTTCGGTCTTCCTCAAGTAAGAAAATTAATCAAGCCATACAGCCTCAAAAACCGCGTACAAAATATCCATTACGTCGCTGACATCGTGCCCTAACTACATCATGCATACGTAAAGCTAAAAAGTGAAAAAAACTCACGATAGTCAATAAGATAAAATAATTGCTCAGAGTCATAAGATGAAAAGTTAGAATAAAAAATAAAATTAAATTAAAGTAAAAAATGTACAGAGTAAAATAAAAAGCTTACATATTCTGTGCGTCAAGACAAAAAATAAGAACAGTACAGCGTGGAACAAAGAAAACGTCGCAAGCCTAATATATCTGCGAACACATCCGTGCAGCGTGACAGTCGAAGTCATACTGAAATGTCCGATACAATAAGCGAATAACTATAGTTAGGGAGCTGGCGAGCATTTCGGTACATGATTTGCTCATGTTTCATATCGATAGGGATTAAAGTTCAGATCAATACGAATCGGTTTGGTCCAGTCAATTAAAGTCCTACGTCGCTGCGTTTTTGCGTTACAGCACTTCAAATTTGTAAAAAAAAAGGGTACTAAATTATTTGCTCATGTCTGCCTCTGAGGCTGATGGTCAAAATCATCCTGAAAACGAAGAAAATCCATGAGGCAGACATCCAGGGCTCTGCATTATCACGGGACGTAGTTGTAAAAATGTAAAAAAAAAAGCTCTACTAAGTCATTTGCTCATGCTTCTAGTTGCGTCCATTCGATTCATTATGACTCCCTGAATACGAAAAAAATTTGGCAGACATTTTGCTCACTGATTTTGAGCTGTACAATTTTTGTGATGTGTTCGCAGGCAGAAACGAGCATAACAAAAGTGCAAACTAATTAAGTGACGCCAATCACCCGGTTGTAATACGCGAGCAAATTTTCCGTGTCTTTTTGAAAATTGATTGCGCAATCGCATTTTTTAATAAAAAACATTTCTGAGATTTCTCGTTTTTTAAATTGTCTCTCCAAAAGACACGGAAAATCTGCCGGCGAATTACAACCGGGTGATTGGCGTCACTTACTTTGCACTTTTGTTCTGCTCGTTTCTGCTCGCTTATTGTATCGGTCATTTCAGTATGACTTCGACTGTCACGCTGCACGGATGTGTTCGCAGATATGACTTGCGACGTTTTCTTTGTTCCACGCTGTACTGTTCTTATTTTTTGTCTTGACGCACAAGATATGTAAGCTTTATTTTATTTTACTCTGTACATTTTTTACTTTAATTTAATTCTATTTTTTATTTTAACTTTTCATCTTATGACTTCTGAGCAATATTATTTTATCTTATTGACTATCGTGAGTTTTTTTCACTTTTTAGCTTTACGTATGCATGATATAATTAGGGCACGATGTCAGCGACGTAATGGATATTTTGTACGCGGTTTTTGAGGATGTATGGCTTGATTAATTTTCTCACTTGAGAAGGACCGAAATTACGGTCAAAACGTTGTGAGTTTAAATATATTAATTATTTGGCCAGTTGGGTCAAACAAAAACGACTTCTGTTTTGAATTTATTTACTGGCGAAGGAAACTACTTGCTTTGTTTTTAATTATTGGATTTGACTCGGGTTTTTAAGTATATATTGAACTTGATCTTATCTCTAATATATATTAATGTCCATTTCTACCAATATAGATTAACTTTAATTTAGGTTTAACTTACTTTTTATCTTTTCCTAGTTTTAAAGATTAGAAAAAGATAAAAAGTAAGTTAAACCGAGATTAAAATAAAATTACATTAGTAAAAAATGGACATAAGAGGTTTAAATTGGATAAATTGATGTGGGGTACAAGAATTGAACTCAAATGACAGGATAACAGCGGCGACGATATGGAGCACTTGTGCAGGCTGGTAGACTACGCGGTGGCCATGCGCCATCGTCTCGAGGACGTGAACGTTCACTCATTCAACAATTTTGACCTGCGAGTGGGCATCAGCTGTGGGCCCCTCGTAGGCGGGGTGATCGGAGCCCGAAAGCCGGTCTTCGACATATGGGGCAACACCGTGAACGAGGCTTCCAGAATGGACTCCACCGGTGTGATGGGCAAGATACAAGTCCCGCATGACATCGCCAGGGTAATAATAAAAGCGGCAATAATAATGGTTTTTAAAAAAGCGGTCCTGAACTTCGTACACAAATTATTTCTTAATTTTTTGCATATCGATACTTTGAAAGGTAAATGCAGAGCAACGCTTCAATGATATTTTCATGCAACCTATGTTCATTTTTTCGTCGACTTTATATTTTATTCTCTAAAATAGCAATTGAGAATCGCGCTAATTTATCAATCCGTCGTGTGCGAGCAGTTTCTGGAATCGAGGGGTTATCAGACTCAGAAACGCGGGCTAATCGAGGTGAAGGGGAAAGGCACGATGGAAACGTACTTCGTGTTGGGCAAAGCCACCCTACAACAAGAGGGTACTCCTAGGCACAGAAGCACCTGCCGCAGCCTTGCCGCGGTGGTCTACGGTGTGGTCCAAGCGCGCCGCAAGCAAATCAGAAAACAGGCGATGCGAAGAACATAAATGGAGAATCTCTGAGAATAGTTCTCAGTGCATAGCTTTGCAGATACTGCCAGATTGGTGCGGAAAATCTCACCGTTGATCTAATAGTTGGAAAACAAATTGCGCAGCTTTACATTTCTAATAGTCCATGATGTATATAGATTTCATCTGGAAGAAATTGTTGCAATTCTTTAAGAAAGATAATAAAACATACAGTATACCGATAGTAAAACAACATCGATATTAATAGAAAAAAATGATAAATCTTTGCACCAATCTGATAAGCGCGACAAGTACTTGAGCGGATTCAGGTTTTGAAAAGAAATTCTGTCCAATTTTATTTCCGTGTCATCTTGCCACAAAATATTGAATGTATATAGCACTTATAATAAATAATCGATCTTATACAAACACGAGTTGCGCCCTTTTTAATTGGAACTTTAATCACAAGTTTTATTTGTTACAGCAAAATGATTCTAATAGTTAATAGAATAGCTCGGCTACTTAAAAAAAAAAAAAAAAAATTAATAACGCCATGAATATAATGAGAAGGCTGATGATTAATTTCATCACAGAATAGCATTATAATATGCTCGCTGTAAAAGACATTATTATTATACTAATATAATTATAGTAATCGGTGACAGGTGGAAATGCACAACGTCTCTGGCTCCGTGTAACCTCGTATATTACACATTATTACGGTAAACACAATATTTATAATCGTAATAATAATCCATGATAATAGTGGCAATAATGATAATCATAATAAGGCTATAGCTACAAGGTGACCGCCGTTGCGCGATTTCGAGGGGCCACCGCACCTTCGCGACCGATTCGATCGGCCGGCTCGACTGTACACGACTTTTACAACATACTCGAATAATTAATCTAATTTTACATATTAATCGTTAGACAATTCATTACAATTATGAACCTAGTCAGAAGAACGTTACGATACGTAGGAAGGACCGCGCGCCTCCCTTTCCCTCAAGATCACACGCATTCCTTTCACTTACTATTAATCGATTATCATCAGCAAAATTTCGCATCCTCTAAAGAATTTCAGGGCGAAAATTATGTTATTACGCCACAAAATTTAGACACAAAATTGAGCATTACTGTATCAAAACAAAAAATCATATCTTTTTTTTGTAATAAAATTGTATTTAATAATAAAGTTTTTTCTTAAATTTTTCAACATCCAATTTCTACTTTAAACGTTAAATAACATTTGTTCTAATTGACATTGAAATATATTAATCTTTAAAAAGTGATGACAGTTACGGTTTAATTTGTATCACAATTACAGTCCTTAACTAATTGTAAGAGCCAATGGAGATTCTTATCAAGGATACTCGGAAAATTTTGCTCAAGTCGCGAAGTCTATTGCTTTCTCCGAGGGACGAAGGGGGGGACTTGTCTCATTTAATATACAAAGGCACTGTACACATAATAAACATACAATTAGAAGAGCGCTAAAAAGGCGGTCCGGAAGATGCTTCCTTTCCCCTCTTTTATCTCTCGTCTCTCGCCACTATCTCTTTCCCTCGGTAAAACGTGCCCCGTTTAAAAATATCGCTTCAATCTACAATATCTGTCTGTTGCTTTAAAATACGGCCAGTAAATTGTGGTGCTTAAAATAGGGGAGCGGTTTCCTTCGTTTCTAGCTGCATTGGTCGAGACTAACTTCTTCGTTCTTCCTCGTCTAGATTAGTCTAGCTTTATTTAAGGAAAAATAGATGACTATGATCGGGTTGGATGCGCGGTAACTATTTATTTCATTATTATTTTATTATTATTATTATTATTATTATTATTATTATTATTATTATTATTATTATTATTATACAGGGGGTAAACTCTCGTAGTGGGGAAAATTGCAAAAAACAGGGGAGGGGCGGATGGAGCGCGAAAACGATTGGTCAATGCGATCAGAAGTCAAGAAAACGCTGGCTTAGGTGGGATTCCTCACGTTTATCACAATTTGGCAGTGAACGTTTTCACGTTGTTGTTGTTGAGAAATGTATAGCTTACAGCGACATAGTGTTCAGCCGTATTCTTTTCAAAAGCTGCACGCACGCGCGTGCACGCATACGCACACGCACGCACGCATGAACACATAACGCACACGTACGCTCACGCATGTATACACACACACACAAAAGGTTGGAAAGTAACGTGTTACTTGTAACGCCGTACCGTTATAGTTACTTTTTTGTAACGGACTGGTAACGGCGTTACTTTTTTCTTTTTGTAACTGTAACGGTAACGCTCTTATAGAAAAATACACTCAACCCATAGAAAAACCTTTAAAGTTGGGTGTAATTTTGGACCGCCAATAGGTTTAACCTATTGGCGGTCTAAAATCACACCCAACTTTAAGGGTTTTTCTATGGGTTGAGTGTATTTTTCCATAAGGGCGTAGTTACATTTTTTTAGCAAGGTAACGAATTTAACAGTTACTTTTTATATTTTGAATCTATTTATGACAATTTTCGTACATTCAATGTTCAGTCTTCGACCAATATTCATAGTCCATTATTATATTTCAGATCGTCTTAAGAATAGTTTTAAGATATCATAAATCAATCACAGAGCCGTATTAGTATAAGACCAAACTTTATGGTTTATGAATACCAGCTTTGATGCCGCGCTCACCGCTGCACTTTTTTGTGTTAAAATTTTTAAACATAAAATACAAAAAAAGTATAAATTCGGCAGTATTTGTAAATTTAATAAAAAACTACATTTTTTTATTTGCATTTTGAGCATTATAAAACTTTTTTTTTTAAATTTTTTATAGTCTTGCAATTTAAGATATAAAATTTTATTGCTTTATTAATATTTTAACAAAAAATATTACAAAAGTATATTTTTTTAGTCTGTGATTTCGTTTTAGCATTAAAAAAGTAACCGAAAAAGTAATGTTAAAAGGTAACTTTACACAAATCGTTACTTTAACGATAACAGTAACGAGTTAGGCTGGAGTCTACATGGCATGCATTTTCCGCGTAACGCGTAAACCGCGTAACCAATTAGAGAAGCATTTCACATTTTCGGTTATGCATATTCGCGCTTCTGATTCGTTACGCGGTTACGTGTTACGCGGAAAATACATGCCATGGGACTCCAGCCTTACTTTTGAGACTCAGTAACTAGTAACAGTAACTAGTTACTTTTTTGAGTCGGTAATGTCTAATAGTTATTTTTAAAAAGTAACTTTCCCATCCCTGATACACGCACACACACACACACACGCACGCACCATGCACGCGCACGCACGCGCACGCACATACACATACACATACATACATACACATACATACATACATACATACATACATACATACATACATACATACA